TTCTTTTCTTTTACCTTTTAAAAATGTTATTAGGGAAAAAAAGCATTTTAAAAATATTTTTTAAAGATGATATCAAGGACTATATAAATTAATCTGGAACATCAAAGCATAGTTAGAAACATAATACTTGATTAGATTAGCTTTTGCATTTTTATTGGTTTGTGGTTAATCTTGTATTATAAGCAGGGCTTTGAACCTGCTGAAAATGGTTCAGTCATGGCCAGCGGAAACAAGGGCAGCTTATGTGTAGCATAGCAACCAAATCTCTTATGTGTTGGATTTTGACCTGAATAGGAAATAGGTAGCAGTGCCCTGTTCAAAGATGGCAGCTGACTACTCCACTTTGAATGTGTGGTGTGTCGTGTTTGGCCGCCAACTTTGAGCCAATCTCAGCATCTTGCCTTGGGAAATATTATTATTTTAACTGACCTTGCATCATTTTCTACAAGTAAAACATTGTTTGCAGTGTGAATGTCTTCTAGATTGCAATAAATAGAGAAATACTGAGGTTATTTTGGATGATATGGATTTAATGTAAAGATACACTGAAGTCAGATCCTAGAACAGCATCTCATGGTTTGCACAATTACATTCCATAGATAACAGAAACATTGTTCAGCATAAAACAGCTACTCTGCTATTAGAATAGTCCTCTATGCTCATGATTCAGTTTTTTCTTAACCTCTGCTTCTATTGCTAGATCCCTTTCTTTTTCTCTTTTACTAATTCTGTGGCCTAAAACCCCAAAAACCAAACCCACTGCTGTTGAGTTGATCCTGAGTCACAGTGACCCTGTAGGATAGAGTAGAACTGCCCCACAGGGTCTCCAGGTCTGTATGTAAATATTTATCCCACATCTTTATCCCAAAATGATGATATGTTCGAACTGCTGACCTTTTGATTAGCAGCTAAGAACTTCAACCACTGCACCACCAGGGCTTCTGAGGGCTTCTACTGCCTGTTGGTTTCTGTGTACTTTTCCCCCTCTGGGTATTGCTCAGTTCTCTCTGTCATACTCAGATTACTCAAGAAAG